GAGAGAGAGAGAGAGAGAGAGAGAGAGAGAGAGAGAAAGAGAGAGAGAGAGAGAGAGAAGGATAAGATGAGCGAGGAACAAGGAAGGAGTGAAGTGAGAGAAGGAAAGAGAGAAAATGAAGGGAAGGCAGAGGGTGAGAAAAGGAGGGAAGGGGGAGATTCGGTGGGGGGAATAGAGAGGGAGGGAGAGAGAGAGCTAGAGAAAAGAGTGGAACAGAAAAGGAGAAAAGAGTGAAAAGAAGGGAGAGAGTGAGAGGGAAGGACTGAGTGAGGGAGGGAGAGAGAGAGAGAGAGAGAGAAGGATAAGATGAGCGAGGAACAAGGAAGGAGTGAAGTGAGAGAAGGAAAGAGAGAAAATGAAGGGAAGGCAGAGGGTGAGAAAAGGAGGGAAGGGGGAGATTCGGTGGGGGGAATAGAGAGGGAGGGAGAGAGAGAGCTAGAGAAAAGAGTGGAACAGAAAAGGAGAAAAGAGTGAAAAGAAGGGAGAGAGTGAGAGGGAAGGACTGAGTGAGGGAGGGACAGTGAGATGGGGAGAGTGATAGGGAATGAGGGGAGTATAAAGGGGAGGCAGGGGGAACGAAAGGGAGGAAGAGTGGGGCGATAGAGAGTTGGGAGAGGGCGAGAAAGAGACGGACGAGTGAAAGGGAGGGAAGTAATGAAGGAGGGAGAATTAAAAGGAGACGGGAGAGGGAGCAAGAGGATGAGGTGAGAGTGAGTGACAGTGAATGAGGGGGAGAGAGGGGAAGGAGAAACGCGAAAGAGGGAGCGCGAATGAGTGGAAGCTCGAGGGAGAGCGAGAGAGAAGGGGCGACTTTTCCTCGACAATCTGATTGGTAACTAACTAGTCTAAAATGACAGTTGGAAATGTCGAACCTATTCAGGATTTCCGATTTCAAAGCCTCAAAACACCAGGTTTTAACACGAAACAGTTTTTGGAGTGTGAGCCGCACCACACCGCAAGAAAACAGTTAAGTCCGCCGCTGCTAACCGCTCTTTTCGCGTGTGGCGAAGTGATCAACGGCACCGCACACATCCATCAGCGGTTTTCTCGGCCAAACCAAATGTCTGGTGTAGTACCCAAGACTGACCTATGGGAGGCAGCATGAAACCACAAGGTATCTTCCAGACCGACGAAACGCGCTGTCGTATCGTGTACTCGCCCAGTACTGTACGTCCAAGCGCCTACCACCGTTAGATGAGTCAGCAAAATTGCCAGCACCCTTGGGACACATTCACATTATTCAGCAAAATTGCCAGCACCCTTGGGACACATTCACATAAGAGTCGTTTGAATAACTTGAACTAGCAGCCAATTTCTTTAGTTTTGAAATCAAGTTTCATTCATAGCCAAGAGTGGCAGAGTCACATCAATGGATGCTGCCATCTGTTGGACGACCTCTTAAAAAAACAACAACAAAAAAAAAGAAACGATGACACTAAGTGTACTTTGCACAATATGGGCATTAGTGACAATAACAACTGCAGTTTCGTATTATTGCTGTAAATGAATCTTTGAAATGTGTGACATGAGTACTTGTTGACTCAAAAGAAGCTGGCCTGTTCGCTCCATTTGAATGTATTAGTGTCGAATATGGTAAGAAATACAGTTCATAAATTCAGGGATTGAAAGCCAAACATTTTATTATTCGCTGCTACATTAAATATATTCATAGCGAAAGGCACTGACTTCTGCAAACACATGAGACAAAAAAAAAAAAAAAAAAAGCACACATAACCATCAGGTTGCTGGATCAAATGCTAAATTCTAGTAATTCATCTGCTGCAAAAAGATAATTGTGATTCTCCGGCGATGACAGCGGCGATACATCCCACATCGTACAATCAACAGCTTCATTTTTTTAAAATCTGTGTGTAAATGACATCTTCATTTCCTGTTGGACTGAGAGCAGGTTTTAAATTTGGATTCATTCAAAAGTGTTTTTTCATGCAACTTATGAATGACGTTCTCCACGTACATGAGGTATGTTTGTCTCCTTAGCAACCGGTTCGGATAACAGCAAGCGTTTCTAAATGCACCAGAGGCCGCTTCTAAAATAGACTTCTCGTTCAAACCCAACCGCAGCAACATGCCATCTAATAACAAAAGCAAGGTTCAGATATTAAATTATCACCTTAATTATTTAATATAGCGGTGAAATAAATAGGCTATGTTATGAAATATTTTACAGCAATATTTCCGGAATATTTTTATTGGTCAATTATTTTGCATGACGCTTAAAAAAAAACGTTCCCACAGTTTTTTGCATGCTTTGGTAGGTGCTGCTGCTTTGGTTAGCAACGGGGGTTCAAATGAGCTCTACATCTGTCGAGTGTGATCATTTACAATACAGTATTAAGAAAATGGATATGGGTCTGTGTGAAGGAGGTGTGTATTCTTCTTAGATGGTGCTACTGTCATTGGACAGCAACAAGTCCTCGATCACAGCTACACAAAGGGTTTTTTTTCTCTCTTTCCTTCTCCCTCCCAAAGCTCAGCAGCAGCAGCGACAATATGTGCATTTTTGTAAACTTCATGTTAGGTCTGAAAACAAAAGAAATTGGGCTGTATGAAGATAGAAGTACCCCCTCAAAAAATAATCGTTTCTGATAGAGAAAAGTCATAATTTCAAGAATAAAGTCAACATTTTATTTCTCTTTCTTTCCCCAGCATGGTTCCAGTTATTAGTTTTTATATTTACATTTGATTTAGTGAGTGAGTGAGGCAGCCCCCCCCACCCCCTTGTGAATGATACACATGGCAACTAAGAGGACAGACACTACTTGAGGAAACGTGCTGTTTGAATAGTTTGGCTCCGGAATATTACTTTCTCCCCGGATAGGTACACGTGCAGCAATTGAGAGCATGTTTGCTAGGATTCAACAAAAACTAAATGTTAAATTGCCAAAAAATGACCCACAAAGAAGAAGAAAAAAAAATGTCACAATGGACGCTGAGAGAGAAAAAAAAAAAAAAAAAATGCCAAGCACAATTTACACTGCCGAGCGTTGCCAAAAAGTGCACACAAAACATACAAAGCCAAGACGAAGTGAAATGAAGACATCAGTCGCCGTCTCTCACGCTCCACCCACAATGCACCCGCTGTGGTTCCCGCCCCCCCCTCCAGATGATGTCATCTGGCAGCGCGATGGTGGGTGTTAGTATGAGTGCAGCCTCACCTTGCTCAAGGTCCACACATTATAAGCTTGGACACAAACCTGCCCGCTTTAACCCCAACCAGATAAGATGAAGACCTTGACCTGAACGGTTAGCCTATCGCTAGCTAGTTATTAGCCTGGAAAGCCCCCTGCGCGGCGGATGACGCCGCGCCGGCGGCGGCGCTTTGGAAGGTTTTGTTGGTGAAGATTCCCTGCGAGAACTCCTGCTGGGCCTTGTGGAAGCTGGCCCCGGTGCGGCGGTACATGCCGTGGACCTGCGCAAAGAAGACATTCGATATGCTTGTCATGAGTCTTCCACCAGATGGCAGAAGGCACGTTGAACCCGTCAAGTCCTCCTGTTGCCATGCAGAGTCATTCAAGACTGACTTGCCGAGAGTTCTATCAGCTTCATGTTTTTCTTCAACGGGCCCATATTTCCCACCGAGGAAGTCAATTTGTAAATAAATTGGATGTAAGATCATCACATCGGTGTCTATACTTTCGATGACACTTTTGTTGGGTTACTGTGACATTTTTGTTTTCTCATGAATGTACTCTTATTTTCAGTCGTGTGAAAAGCTTGATGTTTGGACGTCTTAAGCTGCAGCCTCCAAGCAATAATATAAAATACGAAGTAGTGATTTTTTAAAATTTAAATAGAAAACTAATAAACAATGGAAGTTAAATAAGAAAAACGATATACAATTGCTATTTGGATGCTGTATGGACTCAACAACGGGTTACCACACAAGAGTGATCACATCCTCTAGGGGGTGCAAACGAGAAAGTATGGCATAGAAGCATCAAATTAGAAAAAAAAAAAGTATGATTAAAAAAACAAATTCTAGATTGATGTGTTGCAACGACCAAAAAATAAGGTGCACTGAGGCTTCTTACCATCTTGAGGAGAATGATGGACATGACGGCGCAGATGGTGAAGAGGATGGCCACAATGAACATGATGGCGCACACCGCTTTGGATAACTTGATGACGGAGAAGGCGGCGATCCAACCGCTGCGCGCCGACAAACACATCGGTTACGTTTTAGATAAACACGTCGGTTTTGCTTCAGACAGGTAAAGAACAGTTGGTTAAGAAAAATATAATAAAAAGTTTGACCAGTGAAACCTCCAAAGTGGAACAACACAAAAAGAGCAACAGAAAGTAATTGCTTTATGGAGGGAAAACCAAAAATACAATAAACGTTTTTTTTTTTTTTTTTTTTTTTTTGGGGGGGGGGTCCAATTGTCATCTTGTTAGAGGTCAGAAAAAGAAAAATGAAAGGCGGGGTTGTTACGAGAAGAAGCGGTGAGGGCTGGAGAAGATTTGTTGTCATGCAGAACACCAACTACATCATACCAATGAATTTTTGGGGCTCTTTTGTGTGTGTGTGTGTGTGTGTGTGTGTGTGTGTGTGTGTGTGTGTGTGTGGGGGGGGTAGTCTAGTCAAAGACCAACATTTCCTTTGGTTGTTGCTCTTTGTAATGCGTGTCAAGAAACAAAGCAGAAGTGCAGGAAGCATCCACGTTTCTGGAAAATGCACTCCAGTTACAATGCGACAACTTCAGTTTCCCACTAAATGTTTTTCCTCCACTTAAAAAGAGTCTTCTTAGAATAGCTTCGGGAAATTTTGATGCAAGCTTGTTTTTTTTTTTTGTTTTTTTTGCTGTTCTTGATATATTGTTCTGGTTTTGAACTTTTAATCAGATATTGTTTCAAAGTGAAATGAATAAATAATGTGAAATGTAACGCCAACCCACCTGTTGCCCCACCGGGGGATGCCCACCGCCTGGATGATGAAGATGACCACTTGGCAGAAGAAGACGAAGAAGAAGAAGAAAAAGCTGAAGGAGCTGTCGGTCCTTCAGGATGCCAGAAAACAAAATTTGACACAAAAGTTGAAAATGATGTCGAGCGTATTAAAAGAGAAAGGAAAAAATATATATTTTTTTCAACTAAAAGCAATAATAAAAGGACACCACATTCGCGGAGGGCTGCGAAAATCCGGGAATGTTAAAAGTCAGGGAATTAACACAAAAAAAACCCCAGGAAGTTTCTAAACTTAAGGATGGCTCTTATTTGAGAAGGTAAAAACATCCTCAATATGCTCACTTGAAGGCTTTGTAGACGGGCCGGTACCAGCAGAGGAAGGAACAGGGCGCAAAGAGGATGAGCCAGAGGATGGAGAGGCCGAAGTCCACCCCGTAGGTAGACGACGTGGTGAAGTAGGCGAGACACGCCAGCATGTTCAGGAAGAGCGTCACGCAGTTGACTGCAAGAGGAGGAGCGGGACGAGCTGCGGTCAGTGACAGCGAAGGCATCCTTCATACGCGCTTCCGAGTGGCACTTGCATGAAAACTTGACATGGGGACACTCGGAACATTTTCAAAAGAGCACACAAAATTTCCAAAAATGGATGATGATCGTTTCCACTAGGCGATTAATCGGCCCGTTAAACGTTGGCCAAACGAAGGATGTTTGCCGATCGCCGTGCTTGAACCGTGTACAAACGCCATCACTCTCTCGAGTGCACTCACACATCCATAGGTAGTACATCATCTTGCACACCCTCTGGTACTCGGTGGGGATCTCCTCGGAAAAGTCCTGATAGAAACACGGCTTGATCGGGAAGCTCTTGGGCAGCGGAGGCCAGTTGTTTTCTTTACCTGGAGGTATCAGGGGGAACAAGAGCGGCAGCACGTTATACGCCAAGCTCGCAGGATGCGATTTTTTTCAAACGGTGCACAACTCAAACCGGCGAGCGCACCCTTCTCTTTCTTTTACAGACGTTCTAGTCAAAGCATCGCTTATTAGATGATCGGAGAGAAACGCGGAGTGACGTGACGAACCGAGGCAGACGGGGCAAAACAAGTCAAAGCTCGGAAACAAAATCGGACATACGCAATATTTTGGAGCGCCCACATGTCAGAGTTTACAGACATTATAATCTTTGTGTAAGGCAAGATGAACTTGAATACTGCGCAGGAATCTCATTCCCGACCGTTTACACGCCACGGTAGTTGCTGCTGCGTTTGGCTAGTGACAGAGCTCACGCGTGCATCCCCACGCGGGAGCAAAAGACAAAACATGCTATTTAATTTTCGCAGGTCACCGCATATTTTTGCTAAGTAGACAACATTCAATATTACTAAGATCCGGTAAACAGAGTAACATTGATGACCAGACAGTGTGACCTTGACTTATGAGTACTTCAACTTCCAAGTTTTTCCAGTTACGGGCTGGCACATGGCTGATTTATTTTTTTTAGTTACAAGCAAGCTTCAGAGCCACCACTGCTGAGTGATGAAATATCTCTCTCTCACTAAGCCACGCCCCTTAAAAGCTCACGATGCTAACAGGTAAATACTGCAGTATGTGCTGTAAACACACTTTTCAAATCCAATTTCATTCTTTGATGATGGATTATTTTTGAATACAACTCCCATTGATCCTTTTCTTTCCCCCGATTAAAGGCTTTTCAGTTCATTTCAATGGAGAAAATGGATTCGACATATGAGTAAAGCGAGTTCTGGGATTGGTCCCGGAACAAATGAAACACCCAAGTCAAATGTTTTCTTTCGGAGATCCGTATTCGCCGTGCCGCGATTAACCTGTGGAGCTTCGGCCCTGGAGCTCCTGCTCTCTGCGGTCCAGCTCGGCAGCTTTCCTCTCCAGCTCCTCCTGCTGCCTCAGAAGGTTGGCCTGCGCTGCAGTGGCGGTCGCCTGAGGAGGAGGAGGGAAGAGGTGAAGACAAGAAAAAGCTTTTGGGAAATTCTTCGTTTGAGCTCATTTAAAGTCACGAGCTAACGTTACACAGATTGAAGGGGCATTCCAAGCAAGAGTGAGACCTCCTGACTTTTTGAATGCATCTTCGATCTTGTGGCAGCCAAATCTCTCATTTGAGAGTCACCGCATTTGGCACATGTCCACATTTGCTTAGCAGTTAGCGCCAATACGGAACACAAGAACGAACGACCAGTGAAGCTCAACGGCTCCGCGACAGGTTAAAATCTTGAGTGTTAAAATCAAATCAATATTCTTTCTTGAGGTGACTTAAGCGACTAATTAAGTGGTTGGTTTTACACTGTTAAGAGTTTTGATTGAACACCTTTCAATTGTTTTACAATCCATCACGCATTTATTTCATGTGAAGACATGCGCACCCTTTCATTTAAGTCTTGTTGACCCTTTTTACATATTTCTGAAGTACGAAGATGTTTTATGATCGTTACCTCTTTGCCTTGAAGACCTTTTTATTGAATTTTGTATTTTTATGCAGTTTACATTTTTTTGGTATATGCTGCATTCAATATCCCCAGGAGCCCAAAAATGCAATTACAATTTATTGTACTGACCTACCGATAAGGAATAAAAAGTAATTTGTCCAGGGAGGTGACGGTATAAAAGGAATCAAGAGTACCCTTCGGTTCCCTTCAGAAATAGATTATAAATGACCCTTCGGACTATTGCTTGACTAGACTGCTGCTTTTAAACTCACTTCAATTCAACTTTATTTAGCACGCTGTATTTTGAACGCCGTTGTGGCCGATAGAAAAAAAGACTCTGTTAATATTTTAACCATTTAGTTGTAAAACAATGACTCGCATCATATTGTGTAAACCGAGCCGCAGCGTGGTCCACTTTGCGCATGATCGGGTAACGCGATGCGACTTGAGGAGGCAGTGCAAAGGAGCAGAGACGACTGCCGGTCTGCGCAATGAGCAGATGACTCCGCTGTACTTGATGAAAATTCAAAAAATTCAAATGGGGGAGTATGAACATGTGCTTGCGCTTATTGTGTGACTCACCTGCGGTGTGGGCTCTGAGGACGGCTGCAGTACTGCAGGTTGGTAGGGGGAGCTGGAGGCTGGAGTGGTCTGACTAGCAAGGTTCTCCCAGAGGGAAAAAAAAAAGAAAAAAATAATTTCCACAGATGAACAAAAAGAGACAAGAGGATACAAACAAAGATGTCAGGAGGGTGCGGAGATGGAAGTGAATGAAGCCGTAAAAGGTCTTACTGTGGCAGGGAAAGGGTTGTACTGGTCAACAGACTCTACGGTGGAGTTTGTCACCTGTGTGACGGCCGGGTCCTGGAACAAAATCAAGGCATGCGCCGCTCACATTATCTTGACAAAAGATGAAAATTAATTACCCAAGCAAGCCATTGCAACCATTTGTATGCTTCCAACGGTGTGAGGAAGTCCTTCTCCGTGGATTAAGTGCACAAAGCAGGGTGTAAAAAGGCAGGCTTGGATACACGTGGTGTGGACAAAGCCTGTCAGCCACCTTTGGGATCAACTCGGATAACAATTGCCAGGGCCGCGTTGGAGAAAGTCTCCCGGAAAAAGTGGCCATGTCTCTTGTGGTTTTACTACAATTTCAAGCTATTGTGATACTTTAGCCCGAAAGTAGGAAAACAACCAGCATGGCGGATTGGTCATTTCATCAAAACATGAAGCGGACTTGAAACGTACTTATCAGCGCCGGATGCACCTGTAAACATTCCCAGCCAGACTCAACAATTGACTCCTTCCTGTCAAGGAGGTTGCAGTCTGCTTGCACTCTCTCGCTTTGATGAAATAAACTCACGGGACAGAGATTGGTCAGAGCTAAGTGCAATTTGTAACATAGTAAACGTTAGAGTTGGCTTGAAACGCAGAATAATTTATTGAATTTAAAAGTTACAGCTAACTGAAATGGATTTAGGCGGTGATTCTTTTGCAGACCACTAGAGGGAGCCCAGGAGTGGTAAACAGGCCACACAGAATCATTCGTCTTGGAAAGAGGATTAGGTTCTGGTTCTGTTTAGGGGTTAGCAATTAGGGATGGGAGATTGGGGTTTGGGTTCACTTTTAAGAAAAAGGCAACCAGGATGAGTCAGGAGATTAACAGGACCATCATTGCAAATGTGGGCGTAACATACACATGTAAAATCAGACTTTGATATTTTGATTACATGCAAATTAAAGGGCTTGTTTTGCGTACAAGCGAGACCAAAAGAGAACTAATGGAAAACAACTAACTTGGAGAAACAACCATTCGGAGCTCAGCTTCAGAAAACAGGTGAACTCCGAGCAACTGTGATGTCATTTCCAGGTGACAGAGAGTGGCAAAATGGCCGACACCCGAGATGGCTAAAACTGGGTGGATTTTGCTGCTCCGCTCACATTCCACGAACGCAATATTAATCTAAGTGCTGTGTTTAGACTAGTGGAGGTGCGCAGAACATAGTAATGTAAAGAAAATTGCCTTCTACTTTAAAAGAAATGTTACAATGTTACTTTGAACATTGTCTGCACAGTCAATAAACAGTTTGACTCTGGAACTGTTTTACATGATTTGCTAGCCCTGAAAGGATGATGTTCAACCTCCTGCAAGGAAATTCCTTGCACATGAAACAAAGGCTATTTATCATGACAAATTTATTAGTGAATGGAAAAAAAAAACCCTCAGCCAGATAGAGCTCAGATTGTGTCTTTTGATGACACTGCAAAGACTTGAGGAAGAAGACTCAAGAAAACTCAAAACATAACCTCTGCGAAACAGGAAGTGAGATAAGACACCGCAGAACACATCAGCGGCAAAGGAGGTACACTTTTTACCTCCATAAATGTTGACTTGTATGGGTCAATATGTTTGTGTGGATTAAAGCTAAAATCTATTTATTCAAATGAATGAGAGCCCAGTCTGTGTGAGTGGGGGCCAGGGGGAGGGCGTGCGCTATGTACCAGCTGCTGACATCTTATTTATTTAGCTTCATCTCCCCACCTAGCAATCAAACAGTCGCGTACCGCACTCTTGCTGTTTGTTCACGCGTGTGACACATTGCAGTGTGGCTAAATTGTCATGCAAAATTGTGGTTCACGTGAATCAATGATTCCCAAACAGTGAGCTGTAATTGGTCAGTAGGTGTGCTGCAGGAAATTACTCAATTTCACTTAATTGCCCCCCCACCCCCCGAAAATTTCTTATCTATCTATGCCAGTGACAAAAATTGACAGGCAGACCCCCCCCCCACCCCCCGAAAATTTCTTATCTATGCCAGTGACAAAAATTGACAGGCAGGATCATTAAAACGCTCTTCCTCCTTCTCTAATGACAACCTGTGGTTACTCTTATTGTGACATTTCATTTGATGTGCCGTAAGATTTTTTTTTCCCGAATGTAAAATAAAAAAACACTGATCCATCAAACCGCGTCTTTTCATCCAACACTTTTGCTTTTGATGCACTGACATAAGGACATCATGTGACCGCCATAATGCTAGATTCTGTTCACGCCTGTACAGTAAAATTCTCTGAGTAAGGTCCTTGCTGTTGTTGTGTGGCTCAAGCGGAAAAGTTAATAAGTTTATGGCTTAATTGGCTCATCTCCTCCAGGAACAGGACTGTGGTCAATATTAAATGGGCACTCCTGAGATGGCCACCTGTGGCCTGATTTCACAACGAAAACAACCCGAAGTCGTTTAAGACGAAGACAAATTGCCAGAAAATATTTTCAATTCGGCGTGGTAACTACTATAACGCAGTTTAAAAGTTTAGACACATTCCTTGTTGGTTACACGTTAACTTCCTACATTGGAGCCAAGTCATATCCCACCCCGCTTTCCGATCAAAGCGCGCTGATTGGTTCAAGGCCTGTCAATTCTGCATATTCGCCCAATGGGAAAAGAGAGAGCATGCTACGACCCTCCCACCAAGATCCACCCAACAAGTTTCCTGACGTGCTGGCTAGTGGCTACAAAATGAACTCACAGACGACGAGCTCGTCCGTTGAGCACCGCTTGAGCTCAAATTAAAGCACTTACATTAAAAGGGTTGACGCCAGCCGACTCGGCGAAGGGGTTGTCATCAAACGCCGACATTTCCTTCAAGACTCTCGATGATTCAAAACTCTGTGAGCGGGAAGAAACAACGAAGTCGTCACCGCCACCGAAGTTGCCTCTTTAACACACTTCCTCGAGTCGAAATTAGCGCGCATGCGCTCTCTCGCAGCTGTGCGGTGACGTCACATCATATATACAAATGCGGAGGGCGCGAACACGAATACAGTAAAATTGTACTCAGGGGCACTTTAGAATAATATGAATCAAGTCAAACAAGAAAGTAGATCCCCAAATAATTAGTCGAGTAGGTGTACGTAAATATTCAGTTGAAGCGTTTTGAGAAACTTAATTTATTATGTTTTTAATCACAGGATGAACGTCAAATACACTGAAAATAAATTATGACTTGACTCAACTTCATTTCGTCAAGTGGTGACACGAAATAAAATCATCTGCAAAATGTATCTGGAGCAGCATGATTTTAGTTCGTGCAACCACTTGACAAAATAAAATTGAGCCAATTCACCACATAGTAGACAAAAATATCAAAGACAAGCTGGGATAGGGTCCATCAGACCCGTTACCCTGATGGGGATAATCGGTATAGAACGTACTATGCTTGTGGAGGCTCTCAGTCTTTTTTGCTTTTTTTTGTTTTTTTTGTTTTTTACCCACAGGTACAGATGACGACTGACAGAACCCTTTCTACTATAGAACGTACTGTAGATGGAAAGATGGATGATGATTTTTCTTATATTATGACTTAATAGCATGTACATTACAGTACTACAAAAGGAGGAGAACAAGCTTGTCATGCCAGTCATGATGCAAATAACATATTTAAAAGAGATTATAAACACGCACGAGGACTAGGTTATTATAATAAAGCAAAATGGATGAAAATTCATGACAAGGGAAGACAATGAAAATCACAAACACACGCAAATGAAGGGTGTGGACAGAAATACATATGTAACTCGTGTGTAATTCAAAACATTTTTTGATAGCTTTTGAAACATTTCATTAGATTCAGAAATATGTACAGCAAAAGTAAACATGTTCAAACATTCCTGAAAATTGCCACATTGCAGCCTCCAAGAGCTCCAGTTTGGACTTGTTTATGGCCGAATTTGCATTAATTTATGTCAAGTAGCTGCACAAAACACATTTTCAAGTAGACTATATGTCCACTTAAAATATATCTGGGTCCAGTTTTTATTTTGTTTACTATATGTCCACTTAAAATATATCTGGGTCCAGTTTTTATTTTGTTTTGTGCTGCGACTTGACATTATAACATTGAGTAAATTCAACACGTATTTTTTTCAGTCTACTTACTCTTAATCAAATAATTATTTCGAGCACAACTTTTTACTTCGTCGTGTTACTCTAACAATTCTCTTAGTCGACAACAAATTTGGCTAATGTGCTCGGTGCGGTTAAATATTCGGAATCGGTACGTTCAGCGAGACGTGAACCATCGGAAGCTTTTAAACCGAAAGGCTCTGGAAAAGTGCGTGACGTCACCGGCCGAGAAACAGCTCGCGGGGTCGCCGTCATGGAGGAAGTAAGAGGTAAGCTCCACATCTCCTCCGCAACTCTGTTCAACCATTCCACTCCCGCAAGGTGCTTTTGAAATATCTCAAGCTAACCGGATCGTATCGAGCAAAAAGCGCTCGTTTTCCTTTTTAACAGAACCTAATGTGGCCTAACCGGGTAGTTTGTTTGCTAGCTAGCCTCTCTGTTCCATTATCATGTAGTAACCAGATACTTTTTTTTGTTTGCGTTCCACATACACCGGAGAGGTCAACGAACGCAGTCACCGTGTTACCTTCTCGCGTGTGTGTTCCGTTTGAGGAGAACGCTGCATTGTGCTCAAATCTGCTTAGTCGCGTATTTTTCCCTTGTCAACAACCGCATCTCCGTCGCATCAACGCCTTCCCGCTGCCGCACACATAAGTGTTATTTTTCTTTTTTTTTAATCAACATTTATTTCCTACGACATTACAGCCAAATCGACTGCTGCCGCACACATAAGTGTTATTTTTCTTTTTTTTTTAATCAACATTTATTTCCGACGACATTGCAGCCAAATCGACTCTCGATGCTAGCGTGCTAATATTTAGATAGGTACCTCGCTTTACGACGCAGTTGCGTCCGTGAATATGTACGTAAGTCAGAACGCCCAAAGTCGATCACCAATGCAGTAGGAAAAGTCATCATCACAGCAACACAATTAAGAGTGACTATTATATGGCAAACAATAAGTAGGCTATGGCGGGAACTGAGTGCGACGTCGTGCCGCGCGTCACGTCGCGTTACTTTTTTTCGCCACTATTTTTCATTCTTCTGGCTGATATGGTGCTCCGAGAGGCCATTGTTGGGGAAGGCAAACTATTGCGACAGTATGACGGTGGTATTAGCGGCTCACAATGCGTTACGTGAAAACAATGCAACCCCGGAATGACGAAAGGTTTGACACAAAAAAAAAATGCCACATTGAATGATTTCACAGACGTTTAAATGGCAATCAAATTCAAATTTAATCCAGAAAATGGAAAACAAAACATAGTACACGTGACATGTTGGTTGGCTCGTCTTGAGAAGCAAAGTCATTTGGACTTACTTAATTCAGACATGTAGCTCGGTTGCACATTATTATAACGTGCGAAACTAACACGTATCATTTGAATATTTTTGAGGAAAAGAGTAGAACATGACATCAGTTCACCACTTAATCACGTGCAACTGAATGTTAAATGTGTACTTTTTTTTCAGTGCATCACACCACAAAGCAGCCCTTTCAAGATTTTTCTGGCAGTTTTGCTGGATTGTCATGGCCCCGAAATCCTGAATTTGCATTTACAGCATATTTTTGAATCAAGTTGTGTTCCAAACAACATTTGCTTTTCTCCCCCTTGCCTCTGTTTTAGTGTTTCCACTGGCCTGTGCAGTGCAGAACTATGCGTGGGGAAAGGTGGGCCTGGACAGCGAAGTGGCCAAACTGGTGCTCGGCGGGGACGCGTTAGCCGTCATCCAGGATGGCAAACCTTATGCCGAGGTACATAATGTTGTCCGTCACCACCCACAAGGAGCCAAAACAACATGGCCGAGACTTGCACCGTTTTGACTGCCGCTCTTTATTGAGCACCCCGGCAGCCCTGTGCGGGTTGTGATGAAGGTCATCAATTTCGTTTACCAACGCAGTGACATTTTCACACTTTACGGGCGACGGTCGCGTGACAATACGCTGAATTACGGTCGGTTTCAGAGGGTCATGATGCCACACTTTAACTTACGATCAGCGTGCATCGAAATGATGAACCCAAAATATCTTTTGATGTGAGACAGAAGCTAACCATAGAAGCAGAAAAAGATACCTTTCTGACAAAGGAGTCACAGTTTACTGTCGTAGTGCGTTGTTAGATGTGCGGTGAATCACTCCATCTACGAAGTCAGTCATCAACTGCCATTTTTTTTCTTCAGTGGTCCATTGCAGTCTGGTTCAGCCACATCGCAGGCCTTTACTCTTTGCCATCACCGGTAGCCTTCTACGGTGGTGTAGATATAGTTACGGGAAAAAAAATATGGTCAAAAGTGATAGACCGTACAGTACTGTATATATTTTCTAAGTTACGTGTACACATTTGTGATGGAAAGTGAAACACCTTTCTGACTTCTGCCTGCACAAACCTTAAACAAGGTGCTTCCAAAGTGCCCGAGTCAGCGTAACCTGAGCGCGATGCTCATTTCTGCCTCCTCCAGCTGTGGATGGGCGCCCACCCGAAGGGTGACGCCCAGATCAAAGACAATCGGATCGCGCAGACCACCCTGGGTCAGTGGATCGCCCACTTCCCAGCGTGCCTGGGCTCCAAGGTCAAGGACACCTTTCAGGGCCAGCTGCCCTTCCTCTTCAAAGTCCTCTCCGTCAACACCGCCTTGTCCATACAGGCTCACCCCAACAGGGTAAGACGTACACACACGCACAAGCTGGCACTTACACAGCGGCGAGGAAGTCCACACGGGAACGTTCTGTCTTCTGAGACAGGGTTAGGGGTTAGCGTGCATTTTTTAGGGAAAACCCACAGAAGCGCAAAGACAACATGCAAACTCCACACAAGGAAGACCGGACATGAGATTTGAACTGAGCTGTAAGGCAGGAGTGCTCATCGCCCACCACCGTGTTGAAAGCAATTGCCACTCTCCAACACGTATTTTAAGTTCAAGTTCAAGTCAACTTTATTGTCAAATGTGCAACACACAGCACAGATGAAATTTCATTCCTCTCAACCAGGGCAGAGAGGAGCCGCTGCGGGTGCCCGCGCCGCCATCAAAAGAACAGTTAGCATAAAATGACAAAATAATACAACACAACACATAAGACACAGGAAACCTTGGCACACCGTAGCAACACAGAAGAGAAGAAGGGCCGAAGAAGTGAGCGTCACATGTTTAACTTCACACATTACGGCACTAGGATACAACCTGCCTAAAATCGGTGGGTTGGCTAACCGCCAGCCACCCGCAACGATGCTTGGGAGTTCCTGGCTTCGAAAGGGCCCGCTGACTGACTATTTTCTTCGGATTTATTTAGGAGTTAGCCGCTCGTCTCCACGCTCAGTTTCCGGAACACTACCCGGACGACAACCACAAGCCAGAGATGGCCATCGCGCTCACGCACTTCCAGGGCCTCTGCGGCTTCAGGCCAGTGGAGGAGATCCTCGGATTCCTCCAATGTGAGTCTGACAGGATGTTAAAAAGGGTTTCTAACAGACGGGGTTCATTGCTTAAAGGCCCAAACTAAACATAACTCGTTGGCGCACCCGATTAGCCGTACCGGAGTTCCGCGCTCTGGTGGGCAACGAAGCGGCTCAGGAGCTGCGGGGCAGCGCGGGCGACACGGGCCGTGCCAGGCGGGCGCTGAAGAAGTGCTTCACCAGGATGATGATCTGTGAGAAGAAAGTGTTTGTGGATCAACTCAACATGCTGGTCAAGAGAGTCACTGAAGAAGGTGAGCGCACCGCGTCGCCGGGATCACAAATGTCCACATTTTGGCTCATTTCAAAGACTGTTAATTATTTCATTTGCGCTTACGTTCTTATTCAAACGCAATTTTTTACAGCAATTTTAAAGGTAAAGATACTGTACACATTTTTTTTATAATTGAGTTTTTTTTTAATTTGAAAATCAACCCAAATATTTTATTTGTGGATTAAAAAAATCTAAATAAAAGCCTGCAAAATTCCCCGTCACCATTTTGGAAAGGGAATTGACAAGGGGGAACTCATTTGACCAAATTTCTCGTGAGCATGATTATTGAATGAGTTGATGGGTTTTTTGTAGGCGCGGCAGGCAAGGATACAGCGAGCAGTAATGGCGAGCTGCTGCTCCGCCTCCATTCGCAATACCCCGGCGACATCGGCTGCTTCTCCATCTACTTCCTCAATCACGTACTCTTGGATCCCAACCAGGCCATGTTCCTTGGAGCGAATGAACCTCACGCTTACCTGCACGGAGGTCAGTCGTCCGAGTTTCTGGTGACATTTCCATGCAAAGTTATCATTTGAAAGTGTCCAAACTTTCAAAAGTTAAGCAACGAGCTGACTGAAGTACTTTCACAAATCTGAGTCAGTCTTCGGCTTGACGAGGTTTTAGTCAATTTTTATTTTTGTTTTGCTGTCAGATTGTATCGAGTGCATGGCGTGCTCCGACAACACGGTAAGAGCCGGCCTGACCCCAAAATACATCGACGTCAACACGCTTTGCGAGATGCTCAACTACAGCCCGAGCCCTTCCGCCGCCAAGATTTTCCCACCAGTTCAGGACGCCTCGGACCCTTGCGTCACCGTCTACGACCCCCCTGTGCCGGACTTCACCGTCATGAGGATACATGTGAGAGAATTTTCAGAATAGCATTCTGACAAGAAACGGGAATCTACGTGCCAGGCCTTGTCGTCGGCACTCTGAATCTGAATTGTGTTTATTTATTCAACAGCAAATGAAGGCGAGGCAGAGTAGCCATTTTTAAACGTACTTTTAGGGAAAAAAAAAAAATCAATATCCAAAAACGCTTAATAAATATGTTGTGGGCAACTATGCTATTTGACCAACGAGTGAATCTTAGTGCAGTTGGCGCCCTCTTGTGGTACGTCATGCTACTACAATTCAATTTTTTGTATTTTTTGTGGGGGAGATAGTACATGATGTAAAAGTTGAAGAAGCACCGCCTCACATAACACGTTTGTCCCTTTCTCCAGGTGCCAGCTTCCATGAAGCAGTACACACTGGCGCCCGTCGACAGCGCCAGCATCCTGCTGGTCATCGAAGGCGACGCCAGCGCCACCTCGGCCGCCGCGCTGTCTGACATCAGCCTGAGGCGGGGCACGGTTTTGTTTGTGTCGGCCAACGAGAGCGTGTTGATGCACGTCACCTCCCCGTCGGGTGTGACCATGTTTCGGGCCTGCTGCCTCCTGTAGTGGGACTCGTGCGTACGTGTGCGTGGGTCCGTGGGAGATGACGATTGTTGTAATTTTGAGACTCGGACGGTAGCTTCCTTAATGCAAATCTTTTGTCGGGTGCTTAGAAGAAAGCAACCACATGGAAAAGAACCACTTGCACAATGGTTCAATCACTTCAACCTTAACGCTAACGCTTACGCCGGGGGTGTCCAAACTACAGTCGGGGGGCTTTTTGTAGCCTGCTGCCTATTTTTCAGCAGATCTACTAAAAATCTCATTTGACTCGGCCTGTAATGCTCTTTAAAAAAAAAAAAAAAAATCAGTGCGAGGGCTGGTGACGCCGAAATCCCACATCTCGCCTGAGTTACCAAGCACCGCATCGTTGCCCTTCTATTGCTGTCAATCATCATCGCACCCTAAACATCAACGCAACACCACCCCAAAATCATTCGCTACTATATAACGGTTTAAAAAAAAAAAGAGAAAATCTCTTCCGCTATAATCGATTACAACGGTAAGTCGTGTCAGCAGCGCGTCTGCGCTCACTGCGACTCTCTGACGAGTTGGCCAAAAGTACAGGTTGGAATACACGCAAATGAATCATCTTCGCTGGCCAGACTTTCCTCGGCTCACCGGTTCCTTCTGCGCCAAAGCATTGCCGCCTCCCGTTTCAAATGCAGCTCGCCTCATTATTTCCACTCGTCGTATAAATACGACGAATTGCTTGAGGAAGGCGTTTTGGCAAGTCAAAAAATGGCCCCTGGCATCCCTTGGACACCCCTGGTTTAAGCGATTCAAATCTGGGGAGGTGGGACGTTGGAAATACAGTACTGCAATCTACTTTGTCCGACTCCGGGCTGACGGAGATCAGCGGGTAGCTGCCGAAAGTGAGAAGATGCTTGATGAAGGAGGCGTTATTCTCACCGGGCGTCCCTCACAATATGGTGAAAAGCACATTTGGGTGACTTAGGGACCTCGACCTTTTCACTTCACGTCAAACAGGGTTGATTCGTATCTTTTTCTTTTATCTTTTTTTCTTGGTGGATGTTTGCTTCATGTTCACGGTGAAGGGACACACGGGGTTGGTCCTGCTGAGTGTAAACTACCTACAGACCAAGGCGCAATGCCGGAACAGGATCACAACAGTACTGATTGGGTCCGCATCACTTCCATTGGGAGAAATGCGGCAACATTGACATTGGTGCGGAATGCACACGTAGCTTTCGAGTGCAATATGAGACGTAAGTGGTGCAAAATTCTCAAACGTATTCACACTGGTGCCAAAATGGGAAACGTAACGAATATGACATTAACGCTGAAAGAGGTTGAACCACGAAAAGAATCATTCACAGTGGTGGCCAAATTATGCTCCAAGATGTTAGCATTACGCGAGTCGTAATTATGATGTTGACAATTATGTACATTTGCCTAAAACAAGAAGCTATAGGAATACAGATCGATGCTGATGAAACGAACTCATTTTTCACGCCAGCGTCAAAAGTGAAAATGACAACCGGCGCAGGAAATGCTGCAAACCTGCGAGTGCAAAATGCGGACTAATATTTTAAACAACAGCGTGAAAAGATTGGAAACTGCGGAACATGCTCAAAATATTCCAATCGTGTAAAAACATGTTAACCGATGAGGAATGCAGAATGGCCTCGTGCGGAAATGCGTGCATGCAGAATGCGGCGATATTTACTGGACGACAAAACGCGCAATCGTCCGAACTGTGGACGCTCTACTATTTGTACACTGTTCCAGTTGGCTCATATAACCTTGTTTGTCCACGGAGAGTTGATGAGATGCTTGACGCATGTCTCATACGTGGATGTTTGGATGACTATACTGACAAGTGACGACTGCTCGCGACCTGAATACTTCCTGTTCAAAATCGTCTTGTACACTGGAACCTCCAAAGTGGAACACACACACATATAGTATATAAGTAAAAACTGCCGAGCAGCCACACTGTTTTGTGCTGGCTCCCATGTCACTCACCAGGCCACGCCCCTCCCTCTAAAGCCACACGCGCTCAAAGTCACAGATACCGCAGTGTGGAATGTGAAGGTGGTCGACCTCAATAATTCCTGCGCTTCTAGTTCACCTTCTGTTAAGTCATGCAAAAAGATTTTTTAATCCGATTGATCCGCGGCATCATCGATTCTAGAAATATTTGCTGGCCGCAGACCTCATTTTAACATTTTAAACCGTGATGCGAGTGTAAATAATAATAATGCTCACCGTTTCACAGGAATAACGTTCTGTATTGGTCAAGGTTCTCTGGTCAATGTCCCAGTTCTATGGTTATCATCACGTGCTTCCTCTTCGGGGGTTCTACTGTATAAACAAAAAAAAAAAGGAAAAATGAATTCAGGATATATTTGCTATTGTAGAACAAATCCAACAAAGCATGAGCAACAAGAGCAAAAGTTGATGAAGTGTCAGAACAAATGCTGCGCCAAGTTTTCGAGTTTTCGTTTTGAACGTTTTGTATATTTTGTCCTCGTCGAAACCTGCAAACGTGAGACGGGACTTGATGTGTTCTTGAAGTTTTTGCCATTCCGATCATTCCGTTCTACTTCCTGTGACCAACGGCCAAGGAATGCACTTTGTTCCAATGATCTCAAAGTTTGTATTTCACGGGTGGCGTCGCTTTTGATCATCGGTGTATCATTTCACATGCGCCGACCGTGTCCGCCGAAAGGTTTCTCTTGCATTGTTTGATGAGCAAAGGGGTCATGGAACTTCAAGTTACTGCTGGAGCGTCTTCCATTGTATCTTCGCTTTTCATTGAGTCACCATTCCAGTTTGCACTTTGCACGCACAAAGGAGAGTTGAGTTTTTGTTTTGTGAGTGTTGTTGCTGTTGTAGACGTTAATCCCTCCATGGTTGTGAGAATTTTGGAGCGGGGCCTTGCTGTAGCATGGGAATGGCAAAAAAAATTGTCAATGTCAAAATGGTTCAATAAAAGCTTTGTCCTGTCACTGGATTGCCTGTTTATCAGGTTTTGTTGTTTTTTGTTTTTTTTTTAATTTTGGAACTCCACCACTAATGGTTTGAAAAAAAATACATTTTATTTTCCATTTGTTTTCTGTTGATAATAGACATACTAAGTTACATTTATATTTTTGTGACTAACATTAACTGTGATAACGTGGAAGTGGTTGAAATGAAAAAGTCGATGGTGCTAATTATTACATCGTGGGTCATGTTTAAAGAAATTTATATCTAATTAGTAGTGATGGCCGTTCTGCTCCTGGAGACGGAGGACGAGTTTTTTTTTTTTTTTTTTTAAAGGATAGACTAAGCAAGGACGTCAGTCCCTTTTATTGTTCCGAACCAGGTTAATGACGTGTCGGGAGGGGGCGGACTGGGATGGAAGCACGGGGTGGGGGTGGGGCGATTATTATATGAATAAGGACGGAGGGACGATGACGGAAGGGTACCCAGGTCGCGGACAGAGGACGGACGGGCACAATCGGGTCAAGTGTCCGTCTCTGCTAATTCAGGTTGCACGGAATCAGTGGTGGTTTTTGGAATGTGCATTATGGGAGGCCCTACATGGTTACATTGCTGGGGCGGCCGTTAAAAAAAAAAACCAAACAAACAGAAAAATCTTACAACTTGGCGTCTCTTTTTAGGGTTTGTCTTGTGTAAAGTTTCGAGTCTGGCACGTCAATCATTGGCGTCCGTATGGGGATTTTGCACCACCTTGTGGAATTGAGATGGAACAGCAATCTATTCTTTCCATCAAGGAAAGCATGTCCGCTCGGGCAAAAAGTCAACATTATATTCATGTATAAATATTGGTTTTGGAACTTTTAACTCTGTGCTTCATTCAAATTCCCATATAATTCCATATATTGAAAACCTCAGACCTATGAGACAGACATGCTGACCACATTCCACTCGGGTTATTATTTCACAAAGGCATTTAGCTAAATTTGTATTGGCACATGACACCCCCGCAATACAATACAGTACAACCAACAAGTACCTCCACAAACCACACAAACGCAAACAATGTGTCGCCTTCACACAAAATTTGACATGTTTTTCATCTTTAAAAAAATTTATTAGGTTCATTTCGCAGTAGAAAAACAATACCGTTAGGGTTCATCTTGATATGAGGTCAATTCAGAAGCTGACATTTGGTCGACAAGGTCAACGCTAAGTTCTGTGATGCTACTACGCCTCTTTGTCATTAGTGTTCCTTCTCTGGTTGTTCCAGGTGCTGCCAAAGGAGGCGCTGTCCCGGCAGCAGACGCTTGCCTTTGGGACCTCCGGTCAATTCCTCCTTGGCGACCACTTGCACATCACTCAGGCTGAACGCGTAGCGCGCCACCACCTCCGGCTTGGGCTGCAGCACGTAGTAAAGCGTCTGCAAAGAGCGCACGTCTTCCAAAGCGTTGTGTGCCTTGTAGTCCACACCCATCAGCTCCTTCACCAGGTACTCCTGCTTGAAGCTGCGCATGCCGCAATCCTTCAGCACCTCCCGGGCCACGGGCAGCGTGTCCACACAGCCGGCGACGGACGCCTCGAACTGTGTTCGCAGGCCCGTCTCGTCCAGGGCTCGGGCCAGCACGCGGCAGTCGAAGCGGCGGATGTTGTGGCCTGCCAGCAGGGGGCGTCCGAGCGCTCGCAGGAAGGCGATGAAGCACAGCAGCACCTCCCGCAGGGGGCTGGTGGGGACAGCGCGGCGGTGCAGGTAGAGCTTGTGTCGGCGCACCCTCAGGCCCGTCACCCTGGCGGCGCCCGGTTCCATTCGACAACGAGGGACCGTGTAGAGGTTGAGGGAGCGGTCCCCGTTCACCGCCGCCAGCTGAACCAGATCGCACGTCGGACCTGACGATGGCGACACTCGCATAACTTTCAATGCTGACCACCCAAACCGACCTACAGCGGGACCTTGGCCCCGCCTTTTTAAGCCACGCACAGTCGCACACTCAGTCACAAATACGACGATGTCGAAGGGGAGGATGAGAAGTGGACAAAATAATACCTGCACCTCACAGGTATATTTTGTATTGTTATTATGGCTGCATTTGTGATTTTTCTTTTCCAACAACCCCCCCCCAAAAAAAACCCCCTAAAAGTCATAACAGTTTAAAGTACTGTTCAATGAAAACCACTTTTTCCAACTTTCGTGAAAGTTTTGGAAAAATGACTTTATAACTCTCGTGATATTAAATGCTGTCCAGTGAAAATTCCACAGGACCTCCAAAATTCTCGAGAGGTTTTACGTTTTTTAGAGAAAAAGTAAATTCAAAACGAAAAAAAATTTTTTTACACACAAGCACTTCAGTACTGGGGAACATTCAAGGATCAGTATTAAATAAATAGAATCAGTATTTCTACTTTTAACAGAGTATTTTTGTTTTGGCGTATTGGTTCCCAGCTCACAAAAACTCTTTCTTACCGAGTCCAGTGGTCTCCAAGTCGAAGAAAACAATCGGCTGCTGAGAGGAGCCATCTGCCCCCGACGCCTCCATCGTTTTTTAAACGTTCCGTCGAAACATCGAACGTTTAAAAGCTTAAACTTGAATAGTCATACGAAACAGAATAGACACTTGATAAGTATTTGGTCGATATCATGAGGACGGCAAGAGTATAACTTTTACACGCCATTATCTTGCCCCCTAAGAAAAGCACCGCTCAATCATTTAAAATACTTCAAACGAAGAAGACTTCTTCTTTTCTCTGCTGATGGCTACAAAACAACGCTTGGCTGCCCCCACGTGGCAAACAAATGAAATTCAGGCTCCAGATTCGAATTCTCACCTGCAAAGTTAGTTGTACCTCATAACAAAACCTGCTCCTACATTTTAATTTTCCCAGTTGAGTTTGAATGCCAGTAAACCATTCCAGCTCCTAAATACACAACTTTATTTTTGTTTTCATGGAATGTTTTTAATTTAAAAACAAACAAACATATTACTCTGTGTTGTGTAAAAAAACAGAATGTCAAGAAAAAAAGTGTTTAGAAACGCATTATCGCGGATCAAAATTAATTGGGAAAATAAAAAGAAAAGATGACATGGTCAGGTGTAAAAATGTGTGAGCATGAGAACGAAACAGAAGTGACCACATGGAATGAATGTTGAGAACACTATCCTCTATCAATGGTTGGATCACGGTCAGTAGCATTCCTTGTTTCGATCTACGTCACACACAACACAGACGCTCGTCATTGGATAAAAAGGCTTTTAATGAGAGAATAAAAAAGGTATTTGGAAAAGTCGATTTCAAATGAAAACACAAAGCATCTCATTTCATTCGCATAAATGTTTCATAAAATCTATTATGAATAGTGCAGTATAAAATTATACAAAGGTGAAATCTGGGCTCTGCACATTTATCCGTCTACGGAACAAAATTTAGTGGCGTTGATGTTCGGTTAAAATGACCAAGCATAGTTTTTCAGTCCAAACACAAACACACACACACACATCCTCAGCTAATAAAAACCATACAGAGGTACAAAAGGACTTCATGTTCAATGAAAGTGCATGTAAAATTTCTTTTTAAACAAAATACTCTCACAAATTAGTCGAAAATGACTTTCAAGGCCATCATTGCTTGTGCTAAATCTTCCAAAATAGAAATCTTTTTAGTACTACCAAATACAAGTTCATTCATTCACATGAATGTATACCATAAAGTACGCTCTTTCACCTCGACCGCTGGTGTCATACTCAAGGTGCGTTGGCAACATCGTAGCTGTGGTTGCCCTCAGGAATGGATGGCGGGGCGCGATTATAACGGTGAAACCTCATAAACGGCTCAGTGTGTCACGATATCACAAAATTCAACAGGTGGATACATGGTTTGGTTTTACAGTTGCAGTCGGATTACATACGGCAGAAGAACAAGAGGCAAAATAAGTGCTTATATACATAACTTTGCTGCTGTGAATTGGGAATTTCTCCATTGCGAGACTAATAAAGGTTTTCTTATCTTATCTTATCTTATCTTATATTTTGCATCAACATGGAAGCGGTTTCATTGGATTTTTTTTCAACAGCGTGAGTCTTTTCTTTTGATACAAGTGCTGCACGCGCGCCGGATTGCAAACACGACATCGCTAGCCGTGAAAGGATGTTAGCCAGAGCCGCACTGTCGCGCAATTATCATTCTTGTCCCAAATGGAATTATGTTTCATGTTGGAACACTGACGGTACATGATTGCCCCAGCATTTGATTATCATTATCTTTGGACAAAAAAAAACAAAACAAAACAAAACAAAACAAAACGTTATAAGCTTTTGCGGGCCGTATCAAATGACACGGAGGGTAGAATTTGGTCCACAGGCCTTGAGTTTGACACTTGTGCTTTATTTGGTCAGCAGAAGCCTGGAAATAAACCACTGGGCCATGACGCAATCATTCCAAAGGCTCAAACTCATTTTCATGGCAGGCAACGTTGTACTTATTGTTTCCCTATAGTGGGCCGTTCTGACTCCGAAAATCATTTCAATGGATCATCCCCTCATCACACGTTGACACATACACATTCAATGTGATTACAAATACTTTTAAATCAGTCACTGCTTTGACTCGGGTCATGGAGTACATTTTCTCCATCAAGAGACTCTGAAATTACAAGTCATGATAAATAGCGGCAAGCAAAATGAGTACTGCGTTATAGTTCAATTGATGTTAAGAATGGATTTGGAGAGGGGGCGGGGTGCTCATTCTAGATGTAAAAAGTGTGGAAAAATGCAAAGGTTGTTATAGATTTTCCGCAAAATTGAAAAGAACAACTGCACTGGGCAAAATATGGAACACGATTTGCCTTCGGGAGCGCCCCCCCAAAATGACGTGGCGGGCCCCATCTGGCCTCTGGGCCTTTTGGTTTGACACGTGCGCTAGATCAAGCACTTGCCCACGGCGTTCCTGCCCGGTTTCCATTTCTGAAAGAGCTCCTGCAGCATCCTGGCATCCTCCAGAGCGTTGTGGGCATCGTAGGTCTTCCCCAGGAAGTACTCCACCATGTACTTCAAGGAGTAGCTGTAGAAATTGGTGAACATCCTCTTGCTGAGCAGAAAGGTGTCCAGGTAGTTGGACACGACCCTCTGAAAGCGCTGCAGGAGGGAGAACTCCCTCAGCACCCTGTCAAGGACGGGGACATCAAAGCGGTTGGCGTTGTGAGCGGCCAGGTACACGGGCTCCGGTAAAGAGGAGAGGAAGTCGATGAAAGAGCTGAGAGCCTGACGGAGCGGCATGGTGGGCATGGCCACCCCATGGCGGAACAGAACGCCGTTCGCCACAGAGAAGCCCGTGACTCTCTTGGCTTCTGTGGTAATTTCACAGCGGGGGACGGTGTAGGCGTTGAAGTCTGCCATGCCGCAGACGGCTGCGATCTGGATGATGTCGCAGTTTCTAGTGTCTGCGGGTAAGTGAGAGTCCAGAAACATAGGTTAGCTAAACTGTCTTCAACGTGCGCAAAAACATGTTTAGGTTACAAAAAAGATGGATGTTAGATTTGTTGCGGAGCAAAATTGTCAACAACAAAAACATGTTAGCTTTATTGAAAGCCCAGCCATCTTCAGTGTGTACAAAAACATGTTAGCTTTACATAAAACTAACGTGTCTTCAATGTTGACAAAAACATGTCTGTACACTTCACTTACAACAAAAACTGTCTTCAACGTCACCAAAAACATGGCATTTCACTGAAGACTAAACTGTCTATGCTCGACAAAAACAGACAATTTAGCTTCACGTGCAGTAAAAACGTCTTCAATGTGTCGAGGAACATGTAAGTTATCTTCGTTTAGGACTAGACGGTCTTCATCGTGGTCAAAAACATCCGTTAGCTTCACTTATATGTTAGCTTCACTTGTATGTTAGCTTCACTTCGGACTTTAGCTGTTCGTTAGCTTCACTCAAAGCTAATGTCGGCTTCAATTGAGACTGAACGGTCGGCAATGTATGGAAAAAAAAGACAAATTCTTCTTGAATGTTACCCAACAACAAATAGGTTTTACGTTAGCTTCTCTTGGGACTTAACGTTCTTCCGTGTGCAAGCCACAAAAACATGTTCGCTTCAGTGAAGGCTGTCTTCACCTTCAATGTTTCCAAAAACATAAGACGCTACCGTATCATCATGAAAGACTAAACTGTCTTTAATGTGTACAACAGCACGCATAATAGCTTCACTTATGACGAAACTGTCTTAATTGTTCACAAAATAAAAACAAAAAAAAAACGTGAAGCTTCTGCCGTTAGCTGGTGTATAAAAACACAAATGTTTCAATTGAAAAATAACAAAACATGTAGCGTAGGTTAGCCTCATTGATGACTAAACTCATCATTATTTCAATATAATCTTTGTGATATTTTTCTTCAGGGGTGTGTAATGATATTTTTCTGATTGTGTCAAATATGTGCTTTGGCTTCATCAAGGTTGGAAAACACTTTTGACCTGAACAATGACATAAAATGCTCCAGAGAGCGACCCATCAAGGTTGTTTGGGCCAAATCGCAAGTCTCAACAACAGATTGCGCATCTGCCTCAAACACAAGATGCGACTGCCACTTTGGACCCGGCACAAAGGCAAAAGATAAAACTTAAATGTCAATCATATTGGCTACTTTTGAGGACTGTAATCTCATTCACAGATATGAGGCTGTTTAAAGGAGTCCAACTGTTTCTGTGGTTTTGCAAATGTAGTATAAATGTCATATTTAAAGCAGTGTAAACACATACCGACTAGTGGTATGTGGGCTCCCTCTTGTTGTCGGCAAAACAAAACAAACCTACCAAAGTAACTTTTCAGCTCGATAAAGCTGCATTGAATCATGAAGTACTTTATTATTAATTTTTTTAAATCAAAATTCTCTGTAAAATGCCATCAGAACTGCTTTAAAATAAAATGTAATTTGCTGGACTTCAATTTAGGCCGTTATCTTGATTTTATCACCTCAAACTTGTTCGGCTCATATTTTGGGCTCGAATAGGACAGTGCCTCAGTCTGGCTGGACGGTGACTGGTTCACATCCAAGTGTAACCTCATTGGCTAACCGATATTCGGGCAGTCTTCTCATTGGCCCACAAACGACTGTCGGGTGATTGGGCAGAAATGTGAGCTGCGAAGCCGCTGGCTCCAACTTGGATGAGGGCCCGCATTGCTCAACAGACTTTTTGACTCCTGACAGGAAGTGGAACAAACATGCCAGCGCTTCTTCCTAACTGTAATGAACATTTTACATGAAAATAAAGAAAATACATCATTCAAACCTTTTTGTGCTCACAAACTAGAATGGGGTAAATTTGTCACAAAAGCAAGTGTGCATGCCAGTGATGAGCTTCAGTTTGAGAAATAGGTAAGATTAAAAAAATTAAAAAAATAAAAAAAATTTAAAAAGTCTACATTTATCATAACTTGGGCTTACCCTCAATTAAAAAAAAAAAGTGAATCTACAAATAGCCATGAATAATGTAACAAAAACCTGACAGTTCCCTGAATTCGCCCTAAAAAAAGAAGCGATAACATAAATAGGCAAGAGTAATAAGAATTATTCTTATTATCATTATTTTAGGTCAACCAGGCCCTGTTCCAACACGGGCGTCTCAAGTTTATGGGAGTAAGCAAATATAAGCCATACGATGGAAAAAAACGTTTCCACAATATCGTCCTCATGTTACCTCTCCGTCAAAAACCGTGACCTTTTGGCCACTTCAGCCAAACACAGCAACTACATAGACCATTATACTTTGCGCCGCTGAGTCACTAGGAACACTGGCCAAGCCTATTTCTTTGTCATTGCTGTTATTATGTACAAAAAAGCCATATTGTGCTTTGTTTTTTTTTTCAACATCATGAGCTTTTTTTCTTTTTTAAAAATAATCTTGTGAGTGTTTCTCGAATATTGTGAGATTTTTTTTTTTTATATCGCCGACCTCCCCACAATATTGTGATTATCCTGAGGTTTATATCATGATAGTATCGTATTATGACGTTTGGATATCGTTAAATCACTTTCTAGTAACGCACAAAAGAACCACTGAATTTAGTACAAATTACATTTACAATATTTAAAACGCAAACTACAATCAATGAGCGGTTTCAGATGACGGATGGATAAATTCAATACCAAACAAAATGGAATAAATAGATTTAAAACATGAAATACAATCAAACATTAGAATAAAACTGAAAAAAAGATTCATGAGATTTCCTTTTTTTCCATTTTAAGTAAAGCATTTTAATTTTTCAGGACACAATATTTGTATTAAAATTTTAATTTGTTTTTTTTTTTAAATATTGGAAGCCAATTTTTATTTATAATGGATTCTTTTTTTTTTCGTTTATTCAAGCGTGATATTATATATAAACCGGGTATAATGTTATAGTGAGTTACAACGATATTTGATACACTTTTTTAGGGGTAAAACTGCTCTCTTGTTTGATAAACACTTCCCGAACTACTATGACGTAAGCGCATTTTAATGTTAATACTTGGAGAGTTTACCCGACAACCTTCTGTGGTGGTACTTACAGAGAAATGTGTTTTTAAACAGCCACAAAATATAATAAAAATGCATAAAAAATAAATACGTATAAACTTTAACGTAGGTGTGACGCTGATAGCAATGTCATCAACTAGATTTTTTTTTTTTTATGATGCCATAATGTCTCATACCCAGTCCAGTTGTTTCAAGATCGAAGAAAACCACCGTGTAAGACATCTGTGGAGGAGAAAAATAAATCAGCATTCCAGTTCAAGACAGCAACAGCAACAACAACAACAACAACACCTCAATGGAAAGAAAAAAAAAACAGCGTTAAAAAAGCTACTCACCGTGAAGAAGCGTCTCGCGTCGACTGCCAAGCAATTGTCAGAGTTGCGGGTTTTATAGCCGCTCACGTCAAGCTAAGTCAACTTTCATTTGCGAGGAACGGGGACTCACTCGCCTTACGTTTCCCTTTCCTTTCCTTTCCCTCCCCTCTGGCTCTGGCTGGCCCACGCATCGGGGCTCGCTCGCGAGGTTGTTTTCCTCGCAACCAGCGACTTTTCTCCGCTTTTCCTTTAGTTTCGCTTTTTTCGCGCGGTGCACGACGGGAAATGTAGTCCGCCGCTCCTGTGGCGCAGCTGCATTTCAATGCAAGCGACGGCGTACTTTTGGATTTTGCACGTCAAAATATGTTCGTCTATCTTATATTATATTATACATGATTCACTTATAACGAATAGCTTTAGTTTGTAGTATTTTAGATATGCAAAGTAGATTTCATCAACTGCTCAATTCCATTCAAATCCATTCTTATTTCCATTACGTTAATCCGGTGGCCGGCACGGTTAACACGTCCGCCTCGCAGTGCAGAGGTGAGAGATTCGATTCCGGCTCTGGCCTTCCTGTGTGGAGTTTACATGTTCTCCCCGTGCCTGTGTGGGTTTTCTCCGGGTACTCTGGTTTCCTCCCGCATTCCAAGAACAT